ATGCAATGCCTGCCAGTCACATATGCAGAAGCAGAACTGCGCTAGCACAGCGGGTGCACTGGTGGCATGTGCGCATGTTGGCCTCATGAATTTGCTTTCTGTTGGGTGCCCACTCAGACGCTCCGCACAAGGTCAGCTTAGGGCAGAGAGAAAGTGGGGCAGAGGCAGGGGAGCCACACTGAGGAAATCTGACAGATTTCCACCCCAAAATTGGATACTTCACACATTGCTAATATAAGCTTCCAACCTCTCTCTAACAAGGACAAAACTTGACAGTGGTTCCTGATTAAGAAGACAGGGCTTTTTCAAAACAGTCAAATTGGTCCACCTCGCTTTAGATGCAAATATATGGCATGAGGTTAATTATGGTATCCACAATATGAAATAGGTTTATATGCTTTTGTTTACTAGTTTTATTATCACACAGTTATTCAATGTTGGCTCTAAGCCAGAACTGCATTATGGAAGAAGGGTGGGTCTTCAGAGGAGAAGGTGAGTCCTATTTTTATAATGAACATGTACTAATAAGAATTAAGATATTCTGGAGAAGGTAATTTATTCAACAACATTGGTAACTCTGGCATATATCCCAGAGCACCAGCAGCAAACTGAATAAAATAAACATTGGATTGCTGAATGGAGCTTTCCAAGGAACTTCACATGTGTTTCTGTGTTACACAGCAAATATTTATGGATCTGTTTCTGATTAATATTATTGACTCAGATTAAGAAGGAAAGATGAGATTCAGCCCCCACAAAAAATCAGAAGCTTTCCTAAACTATTAGGTTATCCCATCTAATACTCAATAATATTACTTTCTTCTGTATATATATCTGAAGAAATACCAGAGAATGTTTGATGTGTGTGCCATAATCCTTCAACATATAATATTACTTAAATAGGAAAATAATGTAATTTAATTAATGCTGTATTGTATTCGGATGTCAGAGAAAAAGAAAAGCAAACAAACCCAACCCAACAGGGCATTGTCCAACTGGATCTTTTACTAAAGGCCTGCAACAAATATTTATCTGCTAAATTCAAATCAATATATTAATTTCAGCACACACATCATCTTTGGCTTCACTGCCTTCTTAGGCTTCTATACTCCACAGTTTTATTTTGTATCTACTTCTTTCTTTCTAGGAAGACCATTCCTTCTTTACACCAGTTGCTAGTGCAGGAGAAGGTCTTGCACCCATCCTGCTTGTGGGAAGCTGGTTTGCCACCATGTGTATAGAGCTGTGCTCAATGAACCTTTGATCTGATCCAGCATGGCTTTTCTTATGTTCTGATACTTTTAGGCATGAAATAACTTTTTCTTAACCTAAAGGCAGAAGATTCAGGAGGTCTGTGGACCATTTTCATCTCTGCGAGGACTGAAAAGAAGGAAACAAAAAGGAAAAAACAAGGTACTCAAAGCTGCTACAGAGTATCCATAGGGTCAGAATTTTTTTGGCAGCCCATGTGGCACTCCTTTTGGCTCCAGATACCATTTTATCCCCCCACCCCCTCCATCAATTGTTTTTGGTGAGTGAACTTCCTTCTGATGTTTGGAGGTGGAGGCTGGAGAAGCTGCCTTATCTTTTCCTTTGTACATCTAAAAATAACTGCATGAAACTATTGGGAGAGGTCATTTGGATGTTTGAACTTAAATGTCACCAGTATACAGGTGACAAGCAGCTCTACTTCTCAGTTCCATCTTCTGGTGCCACAGAAGCAGTAAAGGAGGCAGAGTCAGTTCGTGAGGGATCTTGCATCAGTCCAGAGGGATATGAGAGGCAGAAACTATAAATTCAGAGCCAGGTGTGGGGGAGCGGAGACTTGAGTGTTCAGTTCTGTCAGGCCTCCCTCACCCTAGTGAATTGGGGGGTGGGGGTGGGCATGAGGCAGAGAAGACTGATGTGGCCTCTCCCCCACAGCTAGAAGATTCAACCTTGAGGGATGCTCCTAGTCACTTGCCAGGTGAGGAGACCCATCAGGATGGGGTATGGGGGCGGCTCCTTCGTTCCTTCATCAACAAAAGAGGGCAGGGCAGTACTTCATGTCCTTCTGGTTCACTAGGGAATGGGTGGTCTAGGAAAACGTCTCACAAGCCTTTGGCATCTCATGGTTTCTGAGTCAGACTCAATACTTGAAGCTAAAGCTCCATCTGGATTGAGGCAAGGCCACACAGTTCAGAAACAGGGGTGTGTGTATGTGAGTGACTGAATGGATACATGAATGAATGCATGCATGTATAACCTGATACTTAATCCAGATAAGATGAAAGCACCATTGGTTGTTTTTCCTGGAAATATTTGTGCCTTTTGCTAGCTTCGTGGTTGAGCAATAGTGGCCTTTTCAGGAGATGACAGACCTGGCTTCAATTATCCATGTCCTAGTTAACTTCCACACTGCAATAGTCTCTACATGTGGCTGCCTTAAAAAAAAGGAAAAAAAATAGAAACTTCAATTAGTACAAATATTGTCTTACACACAAACATCAGCTCCTTGTTTCTAGACTTGATTCAAAGTGCTATTATTGGCCTTTGCAGGCCCAATTACTCCTCAGGTAACCTCAAAAACTGTTGCCCTGTGCCCTTGCCTGAACTCTGAGATCAGCCTTGGGAGCCCTGCTTTCTATTCGTCCACAGAGGAGACCAGATACAGAGGAACAGGACAGAGATTTCTGGGCGGTGGCACCACAATTATCACTGGCAGTTCCCTAGGCTCCCTCCCTTCCTATTTATTTTTTTTTACTGTAGCTTCAAATCAGTATTTTTAATCACAATGTTGTGATATTCTCTATGAGGCTTCTTTGCAATGTTGTAGTATTAACAGATATATTGTATATTTCTTTTCATTGGTTAGTAGTGTTATAGAAAAGTGGAACAGGATAAAATTAAAATGGATTGCTTGCATTTTGTGAACATGGCCAACCTGTTCATGAAAGGACCCTTTCACGAGCATTCCAGGACTCTGTAGCAACATAGTCCACAGTTTGCAGGGATTGGCAGAATGTCTTCAGCCAGGGCAAAGGGAATGCGCAGTATGCTTAGAACCGGGACTGTAATCTCTAACTGCCTTATCTGTGTCACTGTTGTCACCCTGAGGGAACACAGTGATGGGAGGCCACTTCTGGGGAAGAATTCTGGGGAAGAGAGGAGCCTCTTTTCCACCACTCTTCAGAACCAAGGAAGGCAGTCTTATGCAGGTAGCAGCAGTGCCTTTGAATCAACCAACCAACCAACCAACCAACCAACCAACCAACCAACCCTTTCTTTGGTCATTGACCAGCGTGGTGCCTTTCTTCTTCTGAGGGTCAGCCAGCCAGCCTGCAAGTCCTCTCCTGCTTTGGGCCATTCTAGATGCCAGCATTTTGGAAGCACCCAGTCACTCTTTTAAGCTGCCAGTGAAACAACAACCCTTCTTTCAGAAGTACAGCCTGGGCGAGACTTGCCATCTATTCAAAGAATGGTGACTTATCTGAAAGGAAGAAATGTCAGTACTAAACAAGGAACTGTTTTGTGACTCAAGGACCAGTTGTTACACATACTGATAGTCTTCCTCCCTGCACACCCAAGTGTTGGGATTGGCAATCAGCTAATGAACACAGAAAGCTGCCACATATTGAGTAGGTCTTTGGTCCATCCAAGCCCAGACAATTGCTCTATGCATGGGTAAGAAACACATGAAGGGGCTCTCAAGAATGGAGGCCCATGTGACTGCTGCCCAAAAAGCACCCCACTTCTGTATCAGGTGAAGTAGCATGGACAGCTCCTGCATGTGGCATGGAAGAGGGACGCTTTGCACAGGGCTCAATTCCTGCAAGTGCCCTGCAAATTAATTAATTAATTAATTAATTTCATTATACGTGTATTTATAGGCTGCCCATAACTGCCGAGGCCTTCCTAGGTGGCTGGGAGCACTCACCAGGAAATTGGACTTAAGGCTGTGACAAAGCGGATCCCAGTCCAGGGAGCCAAGCCCAGGAAATCCAATGGTTCCCAACCCCAGAACAGAGTCATCACATAGCCTTTGTCATTCATTGAAATAATTACCTTAGGACTAACAGATAGAAGATACGGAGGAAAAAATAGCTTCTGCCCTGCTGAAACTTCCATATGTATCTCATATTATCTTTCTGTGTTTTCATCTGAAAGTCCAAGTCAATGTACACACTGAAATTAGGTCAAGGAAGGTGAAAGAAAAGCTTCATGAATGAGACTGAATATCACAAAGAAATCGGGACATTTTGGGCTTCTCTACATGAGGGGTTTAACTTGCTGCTTTACTGAGGTGTGTTCTTCTCTTTTCTTTGCAGGAGTAAAGTGTGTCTGTACTTTTTTAACATGGATTTTTCCCCTTCAAGGTTTGCATTTCTTTGCCTGTCTATATGTTCTGTTAACCAAGCCAAAGAAGGCACTACAGTAGAGCTGTAGTATAGTGGATTTGTGGCAAGACTGGAGCCTTTTGCTCTGGCTTGCAATTTAATATCCCATTATCCCCACTCTTTAAAGAAAAGCAGCAAAAATAGCTGGAAAGCAAGGGAAAGAGGTCTTGGAGGAAGGTGACATCATGAAAACACCCCACAACTGTTTGTGTTAGGTATCAGTTTTCCAATCAAGTCAGGTGCTACTCACAGGTCCCATCTGACCAAATGAATACTTGTATGAGTTTCAGTTCTCAGTCGCTGAAAGAATGACAACTGAGGGTTGTCATGTGCACAGTCAATGCCTCACATCAAGATGCCCTTCATGACAGTCACATCCCTGAGTCACATCTAATCATCTAAGAGTCACTGTTTGAACACCAAAGCAACAAAACCTTACTGCCTACAGATATATCTATTGTCCATCACTATCTGCCAATTACTATATATGGTCATGTTTCAGCACACAAAGGACCCCTGTAATAGGGTGTAGGACTGTTACAGATGTGATAAAAGGAGGAGATCAGGTACAATTGCTTCAGAAACTCACAGAACATCTGAGCAGACAGCTGCGCTGAGGAGGGGCAAAGGATAATGAGTTGGCCCTTGAAATCCTAAAACACCAAGGAAGATGACAAGGCGCAGGGACAGTACATATTCTAGCAGAGGGATCACTCGTAGGTTCAGCACTGGCGGTCGGAAGAATAGAAGGTGCAAGTCGGGCGCCGAGATGCCAATAAAAAAGAGGAAAGGTAATTTTTTGGTTTTATGTAAACATGTATTTGATTGTGTGAACATTCTAGGCTTGGCAAGTAGTTTGAACAAAATCCAATGCCATGTGGAACTGAATAAAGCTTGTGCCATACGTTTGAAAGAGCCATGCTTTAATATTTCATTTTTGGCTTTGTTTCTTTTGGACAGGGTATGTACGTGTCTGTGCCACATACTACTACTGGAGAGGAAGAAAATAATTTCCAATGATTACCTTCCCACTGCTTGGAAATTCCATCTTTGGTGCCAGTGAATCACATGCCAGCAGGAATCTTGCACACCATGGCAACCCATCAGATAAGTCATCAATGGGCTGAGGGAAGACTGCAAGTTTCAAGAGCTCTCCTATTGCACGAGCAATGCTGGCCCTGCCTGCCTGCCTGCCTGCCTGCCTGTCTGTCAGTAAACTTATGAAAAAGCATTTGTGTTCAGTGTCACCCGAGTTATTTCATTCTCTTAATCTTTCTTGCGTCATTGCTTCATTTTGGTTTAACCGATCTCGTAATAAGGTAATGTGATTCCATAAAATTATAAAATGAAAAGTGGAGGAATCAAATTGAGCATGGCATGTAAGCCAAAAAGGCCATCTGAACACAGTTTCACATGTCTCATATGATTTATAATAGGACCAAAAATGGTACAGCATATACAATTATTCCCTCACTTACTGCACAAAGAGTATTGTCTGAAGACCTAAGCACTTTTGCTACAAATATCACAGAAAATGACTTTTGGTAGACATTAAGCAAGATACTGAGCTGCCTCCTTTAAAACAAATGTGCATCATAAATGCAAATTTGGGGGCAGAAGTGGGATTGAATTGATGCCCTTTTCTACTCCTTAGAACAGTGGCATCAGACACAAGTCGTAAGGTCAAATATTTCACCAAACCAGGTGCCCAGCAGCAGGGCTGGTTCTGCCATTAGAGAAAACGAAGCTACTGCCTGGGGTGGTTGCTGCTTAAAGGTAGCAAAGTGTTGGAGGAAATCATGTGGTCCTTTCTGCTTGCATCCCCTGAGTCATTCCACTGCTTCTGCTTGTCCTGGCAGATGCTAGCCTGTTGTTGGCATTGAAGACAGATTTCTGTGCCAGTCCAGGTGACTTTTGGATATGGGATGAAAGGAGGTGCCATCTTGTTTTCCACCTGTTAGGCTATTGGGCCAATCTTGCCCAGAGGAGTCCAACAGAAGGACCAGCACTTTTTGAAACACTTCTCGCCATTCAGTTCCAATGTGACTTGCTTCTGTACATTTCCTGTCACAATCCATGAGCATTGCCACTGCTGGCCCAGTTGCTCTTTCTGTGCAGCTAACTCCCTTTCCTGCAAATCACTGCTTGACCACCAAAATCTTATTTGCCAAAAAGCTAGTCTGGAAGCCTGTATTGTCCAAGTATCTTTTTTCATGCCTGTCTTCAGGACTCTTATCATCCATAAAATCTCCTTAGGTTGTAAAAGTTGTAAAAGGGCAGATTCCATACTCCTAATCTTTCTTGTCACCTGCACTGCTAATTTAAGTAGCGGTGGGAAGCTGGTGCTGAGTCCTATTGGTTGCGGAAACCATTGGTAAGACAATTCCTTTGACCAAATTTGGATTTTGTTTCTTAGTCTAGAAAAGGGGTGAGTTAAATTTCCAACTGCCTGGGACTTCAGTTCCCAGAAGCCCTTGCCTGCATGGTCAATGGTTAAGAAAGTTTTGAAAGTCCAAAACACCTGGAGATCAACTTTCAGTTCACCTCTGGTCTAGAAGATAGTTCAGTAATCTGTGAGGAATCAGCAGGGCTATCTAGAACCAACTGAAATGGATGTTTGGCACCCTACTTGAAAAATACTCAGTTGCACATCACCATCAGGTAGTTTGATTTTATTATTTGCTATTTTCATTTTAAATGTTGCTATGGTTATTGTTGCTGATTTTTGCTACTTGGCTATATTGTGCTATATAGTCTCTATTTACATAAGTATGTACATGCGTGTGTGTGTATGCACATATTATGGATATTCATTTAGTTTTGGCTATTATGTTTGGAAAATGCATTCTTATACTGAGAAGTAGGGTACCCATTTTTGAAATGAGTTCAGTCCTTCAGTGTTGGAGGGGCCACAGTGTGGCATTGCCCTGTGAAATATGAACAGATGATGAAGGCTGCTCACTGCATTTCATCATAAAGTAATTGTGACATCATTGCCCTTTGTTGGGTGCTGCTGCTTGCCTATCAACTGGCAGACCACAATGATGCCCACCAAATCAAAGGCTCTGACAGGCACATCAAAGACAGGTGGTACTCCAGCTGCGAAGAGCTCACAAGGGCAAGAGCACCATCAGAGAAATGGCCAGATTCAGACGCAGCAGGAGCCAGAGCCTGACCCGTCACCGTCGCAGGCGGCAAAAGCAGAGCCAAGCAAGTGGATCTGGAAGGAGGCGGGGAAGAAGACGCCGTGGCAGAAGGAAAGGTGAAAATCATCACCAGATGCAATTTAGGGCAGCATAACCATGTTAATGCTATACTGCAGCTCCAAGTGAAATAACCAATGCTGGTGTTTTCTTTTCCAGGACATAAATCCCATGGGCGTAGGAGAGGAAGGAGGAGGAGGCATCATTAAACTCTTCCATCTTGGTGTTGCCTCATGCCCTTGATTTCAAGTCATTCATCTCTCCAAAGCATACTACCAAGAAAAAGTGGAACAAAACCACCCCTTCCATTGAAATCTTGAAGAATTTCCAAGAATCAGGGAGCATGAAACAATCTGAACCTTGCCACCTATCAGTAAATGCTGACATTTCATCTTTGACTCTTTCATGCTGTTATAGGAGCTGGGAGGCTTGAGTGGGAGAATTGTATGCATCTAAGCAGAACAATGTTCAGGAGGTTTTCTATTTCCCAAAAAACAGAATGGGGAAACATGTTGCCCTCCAGATGTTAGTGGAGTACACTTTTCATCAGCTCTAGTCGGAATAGCCATTGGTAAAGGCTTCTAGGAATTTGTTCATTGAATCTGTTTGAGAGCCACCCATTAGCATCACACTGTCTGGATGGCCATTACAATAAAATAACAGATAAAATAATACAGTTAAAATATCAAGATAAAATCACAGTATACATAGGTAAGTATAAATAAATATAAATAAAGCATACATTAATATATTACAACCAGCGCAACTGGTCTGATAGGTCGAGGTAGTACCATAGGTGCACTGAAAAAGGAAGGTATTTCTTAGATGTCTGAAATTCAACACAGCAGGTGCCTGGCAAATCTCAAAAGGACACTGCGGTGCAACCACAGAAAAGCCACCTCCCCCCGCCTTGCAGCTTTCTCCTTAACCTCCTTGGGGAGAGGGACTTGTAGGAGCGACTCAGTTGATGATTCTAGGCAACTGAGTATATGGAGTAAGATACTCCCTAAGATAATGTGGAGTTCCAATTCAACCACATCTGAAGGTCCACACATTCCCCATCTTTGATAATGCATCCCTGCTATATTTCAGTATCTATATCCATAAGCACTTGTAACACCCTACAGACTTAGTCTGGAAGGTAACTTTTATGTAGCTTTGTTTTATTTTTGTTTTATCACTCTTTCCATCATGGATGTTCTTAAAATCTGCTGTATTCAAAACCCAGCTGTGTTACTGAAGCAACAGAAGGTGAAATGTGTGACCAGTCCTAAACCTATCATTCTAGTCATCTCTGTATGTATGCAACATTTGGGTAAAAGCATTGACATACCAGTCAACTAACATCTGAAGGTTCATATTCAGGGTAACAGGATAACAGGAAAGGTGCTTGATTTTACCAAACAAATGTTTGGTGCTAGATCCCACAGAGGAGAAGAGAGCTAGGGGCTCAAATGTGCTCACATTTCCAGGTTACATTAAATACATTAAAGTTAACAATTTCAAAGAGACTGGACCAACACAACCTTTTACAGTTGTAGGATGCTCTTTCTAGGCTGCCTCCTCCACCACTACCCAGGAAAAGATAACACCCTCTTTACTTTCATTGCCAAATCTGAGCTATGTAAATAGCAAAGATACATCAAATTGAATTCAGACTGCAATGCCCCATGAATTTTGATACCAGTTTTACACAAGCCAATGAAACAAGGAATGCTAGCCGTGCCTAACCAGAGTATTTAACTGTCGATCAGGGACAAGAACATAGCATGTCACCACCAAAGTTAAACGAAATAGTTTGAATAAGCAGAAAAAGGTCCTGTTTCATTGGGTACATTGATGTGGCACGATGGAGAAAACAGGCCTAAGATCACATCACTAGATCCTGTGATTACCAGTTTCCTTAAAATATGGGACATATGAAGGTGTAAGCTTATTCCATGTTTTGCGTTGTTTTTATCATAAGGCCCAAATGAACATGAACTAGCATTTTGGGCCAATCAGGCTTTTCAATCATGAAAAGAGACTGAATTCTGGATAATACAGCTGCGCTGGTGGAACAAAATATCATTTCATTTACCTGTGGATTTTTTTAAATTATATGAGCAAATTTAATTTAATCAACCATCTTTACTATAATAATCCATATACAAACAGCCTGTCAATCCAAGTAAAACCAATGACACTAGTAAAAAGAGTCCCAAATGTAAATCTTGGAAGTAATCATTTCCCACCACCCCCGTAAGCGATGCCATGTTTAATTTGAGGCTTGCTTGCTGCCCACCACCACCCATGGGTGCCCAAGTGCTGCTTGCCGCTACCACCCGCGGGTGCCTGCTTGTGTCTCTCAAACATCTGACATTTACTGTATGCGGCTCTTCTGTTGAGCAAACCTGGCCACCCCTGGGATACAGGGGTGAAATTGCCCCTTTAGCTATTTCAGTCCATTTTTTCTCATTTCAACACTGAATTGAGCATTGTAATTCATTCATATGCTTTATAAATGATCGCAATAGCTGTATGTATTGACTACATTAAATAATTCAACATAAAATAATTGAGCGACATTTAATAACCCTTAGGCACATCTGATTATTCATGGAAAACATTTAGAAAAATGTTTAGAAAAAAGGGAAAGGAGTTTATTTCTATACTTTCCAGGTTTTTTTTTTTAAATTAACAAAGATGAAAGTAATAAAGCTAATAAAGTTAATTCAAATACACATTTTAAATGTAATTATATAAGACATGTACATGGAATTATATTTTTAAAATGTATTTAACAAATGAGCTGTGTTCAGATTTATTATAATTAGATGAAACTGGATTGCTAGCTTGAATTGCCATATATGGGCATAATAACCACTGTCTAGATATAAGCAAAGCCAGTGCATTGTATTACATCACAATCAAGGGTGGCATCATTTGCCATTGTTGGTCTTCAAATCCGGTTATAAAAAGGACCAGAGCTGTGGGGTCCTCAAGCTCTGAAATTCCCATCAAGCAGGTGGTGCTCCAGCTGCAAAGA